AGGGGCCAAGAGTGAGGAGCTTGGGGGCTGGGCCAGCATCAGGTGGGTTCATGGGAAGCGGGGAGCAGTGCCGCAGAGGCGGAGCAGGGTCAGGGAGAGTCCCTGGGCAGGAGGTGGGGAGAGAAGGGCAGGAGCCTGCTGGGGCTGGCTGAAGAGTGAGCCCCCGGGGAGCTGGGGGTGCCAGGGGGGGTGGTCCCATCCTCCTGCAGGCGGACTGGCAGGAGCCCCGAGGGGTCTGGGAAGGCACTGCCTGGTCCCCCTGCCCAGCCTGACAGTCCTCAGCACAGCATAGGGCCCGTGCCGGCCTGCTGCCCTCGCCCTCCCGCAGAGCGGTGCTGCCCGTGGCACTCCGTGAGACGCTGGGGGCAGATCCCAATGGCTCCGGGGTCAGGCAAGCTGGTGGGGCTCAGCTTGGGTACGTGCTGGACAGCGTGAGATCAGGACAGCCAGAGAAATGTCCTGTCACAGGTTCCCTGGCAGGAATTGGGCTTCTGAAAACGGCAGTCCCTTTCCGGCATGGAGCCGCTTGTTGTGATGGAGTCTTACAAAACTTCCTTTTAATTGCACAGTTGTAATTTCAGTGAATTAAAGGATCATTAGGAAATAGAAGAGAAAGAAGATGCTGCCTCTCTCTCCAACACCTCACAGCTTAGGGCCTCCAGGCTTTTAACCAGCTCCACACTGCGCCCGCTGGCTACAGCTGGGCTTTACGTGGGCTAGAGGAACATGCCCACTACGAGCCAGTCCTGGCTCCTGGCTGAATCGGACAAATTGAACCTGATTCTCCTCCCACCGAGCCCAGTGTAAATGGAGAGACTTCCACTGCAGTGACACCAGGATAAAGCTGGTAAGAATAGGAGGCGAATCAGCCCCGAGTAACGTATTTCAAATACAAATGATATGCAGGCTGAAGGTGCATTCTCAAAGCAATGCAGGTATCGTTGGGAGCAATATTGTTGGTGCTTAGACACCGTGCCTGATGTTTTCTAAAATACTTCAGCCTAACCTGATGCTCATTTTAACAATTTCAGCATGAAAAGTTACAGTGTGCTAAATAAGCAACTAAAAAGGCTTTGACCCCACTGCCTTGTGGGTACTCCTTGGTTGGAGAAAGACTAAGGGACATCATCAGGACAAAGATGTGCCTTTGCTGATGCAGTAGGCAGTCAGCAGCTGGTCTTATCTATTGCTCTCTGGCAGAAGCTACAACCATCGAGGCACTGAGCATCTGGCCTCAGCCTGGCCTTTAGATTCGGTCTCAATGATCTAAAGTGGGGATGGCAGATCTTAGGCAGCCTTCATGCCCTTGCCTAGGTGTATGTGTTGAAGGTCTTGGTGTGATGATCTCACGACTTTGTACAAGCAGATTCATCAGGCACCTGATTAGACCTCTTACATGTACACCGTGATCCAGAGGATCATCATTACCATTGTGCTTAATAAAGCGCAATCCTAATGGCCCCATCTATAATATACCCCAAAGTCAAAATTGCCTTCTAGAAAACAAATAATTGCCTTCTTCCTCCTCTTTCCAGCATTACACAAACTTGAATGGAAAATATTTGACTTCTGGACTGGAAGAATGAGCTCTGCTTTCCAAGTTTAACAGCAAGTAGAATTTCCCATGCACCAACCAAACAGACGAATGAAAATGTCCTTGGGAAGGAAAGGGGGAAGATTATATGTTCACTGGCTTGAAAAGTTCACCAGTTTTCTTGGCAACCTTTTCCGTCAACTGTCTGTCCTACCCCAGATTATGTAACATTCCTTGGACTCGAGATGTTCCAGACGCTCAGATCTTGTTGGCCTGTTTAGCCTCCAAACATTTAACCTATTTTATTACTGCCTTTTTTTTGTGGAGCTATTTGTATCTGAGCAGAGTAAGCATAAAACCAGGAATAAACCTCTCCCAAGTTAGAAGGGTAGCTATTTACCTACCTTTTGCTCAAGACTAAATGATGCTACAAGATGGAACAGCAGACTTGCTGCACCAGATGGGTTACTCATGCTGAATTAACTTTACATGTTGTATAATAAGAGCTCGAACAATAATGTCTCGTATAATTGCATCTTCTAGTAAATGTATTGGTTTGTATTAGATTTAGTGCTAAAATTTGACTGCATGTTTACCTCCTCCAGCGTTCTTCCCAGCACACTTTGGAGCATGGAAGTGGTCTGATGGCATCACATTTAAGGCCCTCATTGATTTTACGAGGAAGAGAACTGAGCTCTTAATTTGCTCAGCAAACAAAGTAAAAATTAAAATGATGTCCCACTGACCTCACAGCTTTCTGACTTACCCTTTCTTGTACTTGTCTGGCTTATTTGAAAAGCATCCCCCTCCATATAGAAACAGGTTCTAATGTCCAAGGGGGTGTGAGGGCTTTTGTCGAGTACATAATCATCGCTTTGTTTATGAACACGATGAGTTCAGTATCTTAACCCAAGATACTGCGGGGATGAGCACAATGCAAGACCTTATGAAGAGCAGAGTTTGGCTCAGGGAGCAGAACACTCCACTTCAGGTGCCTAATAAGGCACCCTTTGCAATTTTAATGCTTAGTTCTGGGAAGGCCTGGACTCTTGCTAAGAACCTAAGCACAACTCATTTTGCCCACTACAATGGCATCCCTTCCATCCCTGGGCCTGATTCAAATCCCCTTTCTCTCATTTCCATGCACAGAAGTGAAGCACATTTACATCACTGTTCCTCTTTCCATAGTAGGATAAAGGTAACCTACATTAAGGATTGCACCTTAATGTAGCTGTAGTGGTAAAAATAGTTCATGCTTAATAGCACAACTCTGCTAGTATAAAAACTGAATTAGATACTGAATTAAGAGCATACAGAAAGATACTGGTTTTACCAGTAAGGGTCAAGCCCATACCAAGAGCATAAATTTCTACCTGGAGAGCTAATAAAAAGGCCCATTTAACTGTTCCTCAGCAACAGGCTATTATAATTGCTAGGAGCAAGATTTCCCTTTTTAGTGATATCTTTTATTGAACCAACTGTAGAGCTAGAAGAGATGGTAGAGAAGCTTTCAGACACAAGTTTGGGTCCGTATCATGTTTCCTGGACCGTCACAGCTGCAAACGCTCCAATGCTATAATGCCCAAAGCCAGCCACTAGAGGGAGGCAATCTCATGTGCAAAGAAGATTGTATGGGTATATCTGATATCTTTCATTAGACCAACTCAAATAGTTGGAAATTTTTTTTGCAGGCTTTGGGGTATAAATACCCTTCATCAGGCTGAGGAAGCATCTGCAGTTGGTGTGGGGAAGAGCACGTCATCTGCAGGGAAGAGCACACAGCAACTGCAGATGCTTCCTCAGCCTGACAAAGGGTATTTATACCCCAAAGCTTGCACAGAAGAATTTTTCCAGCTATTTGGAAACTATTTATCTAATAAAAGAGTTCAGATTTAACCAAAGAACCTTGTCTGCCTATGTCCTTAGACCAATACAGCTACAAACTATAGCCCTGTAAGAAGACTGTATTACACTTAACAGTTCAGTTTGTCTAATTCAGTGAGCCTGTGAGATAGCTTGCTGGTGTCTAACCTCTATGGCAAGCTCTTCTTCAACTCCTTTGTTGTTCCAGATCCCAGGAAGCAGCTGCTCTCTGGGTGTGGGCAGCTTGACTGAAGAGCACAACGGGAGTCCTCGGCAAATACCTTAGCTGCTAACACAAATGGTGCAAGCAGTCAGTGTCGCATTGGCATGGCAGTCTGAAGCAGTTCCAGAGACTGGTATGGCTGGGATGCCTTTTTAGTTACTATGCACAGATTTTTCATAGTTTCATAGTTGTTAGAGGCTGGAAGGAACCTTACAGATCATCTCCAAAGAGGTATATATGGATCGCTGCAGACAAAAAACAGTGAGGCAGTAGAATAGACTGCCTAGAGGAGTTGTGAACTCTCCCTCCTTGGAGGGGGTCAAGAAGAGGTGGGACAGGCACTGGTTCAGATGATCTAGGAGTCACTAGTCCTGTGCTCTACAAAGGGTATTTCCCAGGTTTCTGGGATTTGCTGGTTGCCCCATGGAGCCGGGAGGGATTATTTTCCCTTCCTGCTACTATGTGTCAGGGGTTTTTTAAGGCTTCCTCAAAAGCATTGAATGTTGGCTGCAGCCAAGGCTGGGGATTTTGACTGGGGTGTGCTAATGTTCTTGTGGGGGCTTAAGTCCACAGGCTCTTGGATAGAGGGGCATGCCTCTCTGTTAAGGGTCAGACCGAATGCCAGATTTGGGCTCAGGAAAGAATTTTACTCCAGAGTCAGATTGGTATGGACTGTGGGGGTATTTGTCTTACTCTGTAGTAGGGGACACAGCCCTCTCCCTTGGATCTCTCAAGCATATTTTAACAATCTTGCAGCAGCAGGACATTGGCCATCGTGGTCCCCCTGCTTTACCTGTGCCATAGTAGGATGTTATATCTTGTGGATGTGTCAGGGTTGATGGTAGTTTTACTAAGAGTTTAGATTATGGATTTGTATGAGATGGTTTGGACAGGGCTGATCCTGCTACAAGCAGGGAGTTGGACTAGATGTGACCTCTGGAGGTCCCTTCCAGCCCCACTTCTCTATATTTCTATGAAGTCTTATAGCACAGGAATGCTCTCCCAACTCACTAGAAAAGGTTGTAATGTAGGGCAGCAAACACAGGCTGTAAAACAAAGTCTTACAACAGGTGAGAGGTTTCTAGCAAGGCATTTTACATCCATTTCCAAACCAGTCCAACAGGTAGAGAATCAGGGTAGAACAGTGAACGGAGACAGAATTACAGCTGCGCACATAGGTCACTTTTTTTCTCTTGGTAACATTAGAACAAATCCGGGGTTTTACCAGTGTAAAGATAGGTAACCTGGAGAGGAGGCGCTAGGCAGAAATGTAATACAGAAGCAAAAACAGAATCTTGAGATTTTGAGATCCTTTTTCACCGCCACTTCCCTGGTTTATGTTTCTTTAGTTTGAATGGGACTACATCTAACTTGTCCAAGAGGCTGGACACATGACACCTTAATGCAAGTAGACAAGGTTCTTTGGGTAAATATATTTTTTATTCGACCAACCCAAATAGTTGGAAAAATTCTTCTTTGCAAGCTTTCGGGTATAAAAACCCTTCATTGGGCTGAGGAAGCATCTGCAGTTGGTGTGTGCTCTTAATGCAAGTGTAATTTTTTTGTTGTTTTTTTTAATGTTGATGCGAGTTATATTTGTGTCAGGAGTAGACGGACCCACAGCTTTCCCCAGGTCACTGCTATACTAGGCATTACTGCAGCATGTTGCCACAAGATGGCAGGGGAGCCTATAAGAGCCCGTTGGCCTTGAGCAGATACGGCAGGTAGAGAAGCAAACACAAGACACAAGGCACAACACGAAAGCCTTGTCACACGTTCATGGACGCTTGTGCTCCATTTAAATCTTATATACTTAGTTTATACTGTGCATATCTACCCAGCCTTCTGCATGTTCACTTGCAATAGTTGCCAATCATTAGTATTTGTTAGGAGATAACTCTCACCTGAAAAGGAATAACTTTGTAATGGCAAAAGGTATCCAAGTATGCTATTGAGAAAGCACAAAATGTCATAGAATAGAAAAGTCGGGCTGGAAGGGACCTCCAGAGGTCATCCAGTCTACCCCGCTGCCTGAGGCAGGATCCCTCTCTAAACTAGCCTATATAAATCCACTGTCTAACCTGCAAGAGCTAACAGAGCCTCCCTGTAGCGTGACCCTAGGCTAGCTGCGTCCCAGTGCTTCTGCCTCCCTGGTGTCATCCCCAGCTCGCCTCATGCTCTCAAAAAGGACAGACAAGCTCACCAACAATTCAACAGGCAACAATTCCTGGAGCCCCTCAGGTCCTTGAGCTGCTGAGAGCCATAGAATGAGTTTCCAGATGCCTTCATGCCGCAAATGAGCAAGAAGGGTACCTGAGTCTGCATGTTTCATAATGTAGTAACTTCAAAGGAGTGCATTGAAGACATACCCACAAGGAGATGGCCTCTGAGGACTGGACTATTTTTTTCTCGCTGCACAAAGCTGCTCTTTTTGAGTTACATTTATTTAGTTACCAGGTTGAAAGCTTTCTGAGCTCTCCCATCTGGGTTTTTGGGGTTTTTTAAGAGTTGCTGGGTACTCAAAGCCCACAGAAGCCAATGAGAGTGTCCTTACATAATATTTGGCAGGGGTAGATTGTTTCCTTGTTTTGATCCTGAAAGGTTTCCTCCAACTCCTTCAACTTCAGGCTATTGGTCTTGTATTTGACTATGCCATTCTGGGCCCATTTCACTTACTTTTACCCTTGCACCGCAAGGGAAATCCAATCCAGGTCCTCATGAAAAGAT